TAGGTGCTCTTATCATTGCTGCTTCAAAGAAGAGGAAACTGAGGCTCACCAAGGTTAAATAACTAGGTGCCCCTGCTTGTAAGTGGCAGAGCTGGTTAATGAATCCAGGGAGAGCCTGCCTTCTCAACAACTACATTCTATCGGCAGCAGTAATCTTTCAGGACAACTTCTGGGACCCCACCTGACCTGCCTTCACATGTGTGTATACACACACCTTTACACACACACATGCACATACACCACTAACACTAACTCCTTCTTTTGCCCAGAAAGTGTAACTGACAGTCACTTCCCTGGACAGTCTTCAGAGTTCTCTGCTGCAACCACCCAAGATGATGTCTCAGCTCCTCTGTCTCTGTGTTAGTTACTGTTTGCTCTGTAACAAATTACTCTAAAACTTAGTGACTTAACAACAACAATTTTACTATCTTAGAATCTGTGGATGAGGAATTCAGAAGTGACTTCACTGAGTAGTTCCAGCTCAGAGTCTCTCATGAGATTGCAGCCACATTGTTGCCAGAGACTGCCATCATTTGAAAGCTGGACTGGGCTAAATAATCTATTCCAAATGTAGCTCAGTCATGGGCCTGGAACGTCAGGACTAATTGTGGTAGGAGGTGTCAGTTTCTTGCCATGTGGCTACTTGAGTGTCCTCACAACATGGCAGCTGGCTTCCCCCAGAGTGAGTGATCCCAGAGGGAACAAGGTGGAAGCATCTATGTCTCTTATGACTCAGCCTCAGAAGTCACACTCCATCACGTCCACAATATCCTAGTGGATCACAGGTCAGCCCAATGCATGTGGGAGGAGAGCACACAAGGGTGTGAATGCCAGGAGGAGAGAATCACTGGGGGTACTTTGAACAGTCTACAGCCACAATGTTGCCCTACTGTAAGGTATGGTAAGAACACAAAGGCTTGGTGTCAAGGAGACCCAACACATGATAAGTACTCAATAAAGTCAGTACTCTGCCTTTCCCTTTTGTCCATGTGATTCCTAATGTCACTTGCTTAGACCTTGGCACTCCTTCCTCTGAGCTGACCCACCACCCCACTGCTGCTTCCAGTGATTCATGGTAACTTAAAGGTTCATTGCTTCCTCCAGTTTCCCTCAGCTCTCATCTCTCTTCTGGGTCCTATACATCTTACTCTACCTGAAGTGAAAGAGAGATGTTTCAGTTATCTATTGTGGTGGGGACAATAATGATCTTTTACTTTGCTCCTGAATCTGGGGTTGACTGGGCTCAGCTGGGCAGCTCTTGCTTGGGGTCTCTCATGTGGTTGTAGACAGGCTGGATGTGGGATCGTCCTGAAGGTTCTCCTCACATGTATGAGTTGGAAAGACTCAAACAGCTAGGGGCTGGAACGCCTGGGCCGCCTCAGACATTTCTGTCTTTCTAGATAGATAAAACAGATGATAATAGATACATAGATGGATAGATATTGATAGATAAATGGAGTAGATGATAGATAAATAGGTAGATAGATATAGATTCATATAGATGTAGATAGATGGATGATGATAGATGGATAAATAGATAGATGACAGATAAAAAGATATATACATACATACAGGCTTACACTGTTACACTGACAAGGAATTTTTCCACCTTCAAACAAGATCCCACGGAAAGGATAATTCTTGGCCTAAAAAAGTGAATATGGAAGTTCACACACGAAACTGAGGGCCTTCGAGTCCTGTGGATAATCACTCACTCTGCAGAAGTTCTCAGCCAGTCTGTCCAGGAAAGGAAGTGAATCCTTGAATTAACCAACATCGACCCGACAATTTCCTGTTCCTGCCTATCTTAGAGCCCTGAAGGGCTAAACGTGTCTCATCCTAGCTTTTCATGTATCCTGGACACCACACAGCCTGGAGGCGACCAGAGAGACTTGTCAGAACTCTGGGGCCTGATAAGCAATTTTAATCAAGGGCAGGAGAGGGCCCACATGAACACAATAGGAGTATTTCCCTTCAATCACTGCAGTGCATCCCCCAAGGTTGCCCAGGCCTAGTTGTGATGACAAAGTCACTCCTAGAATGGGACATTTATATTTCCATGGAATCTTGTTTGAAGATGGAAAAATTCCTCATAAATGTAACAGTGTTAATTCTGTGTGTATGTGTATATCTTTCTATCCATATCAATATTGTTCTCAGGGAAATTATTGAACAGCATTAGCTGTGACACCAATGATTTCATACTTAAACCTCCGTGAGAGATGTATGCAATTATTTTCTAAACTGGTAGATGAAGCTGGGGTTGATAAGGCTGGACCCCAAACTTCAAAACCAATATTGGCCTCCTGAGGACTGAGGATAATATATCTATGAAAATAATAGCTGACATTTATTAAATGTTCACTTCCTGCCCCGTGGTCTACATCCTAAATACTTCACACACCTCATCAGATTCCATCATCACTTGAGTTAGGTGCTGTGTTATTCCCCTATTTTGCAGATGAGGACTCTGAGACACTAAGTCTAAGGCATGAAGGTATTAAGTTAACTTGTTCAAGTTCGCACTTGTAAGTGTATGTAGTGTAGGAGGGTTCCAGATCCCTTTCCCTGGGCTGCACATCCATCCCCAGTTGCTGGGAGTATTGGCTGTTACTAGCTCACAGATGCTCCATTCTCTGGAGAATCACCCTTGGTCAAACTAAAGCCAACTTACCTGGTAGTTTCACCATTTGCCCAAAACCACTGACTGGTCCAGACTCAACCCTGGACTGAGCTGGGATTCAACCCAAGAACTCCAGCTTCAGAGCCCCCCATCTCTCAATCACAGTGTGGTGCTGCCTCCTGATACTAAAATAACACAAATAAGACTAAGGTGAGAGAGAAGGAGAGCCGGATAAGCCCAAAGGTGCCTTTGTGGCTCTCCCCCCACAAACAACCACAAACTTACAGAAAAGTCTGTTCAAAGAACTATTTTCCTGAACCACCTCAGAGTAAATTGCTGACCAGATACTCATAACCGCCTCTATTTCCTACAAAAAAGATGTTCTCCTACACTACCACAAAATGACCTTCAAGGTCAGGAAGTTAACTCTGCTAGATTACTGCCATGTAACCCTCACACCCCATTGAATCCGCTGAGTTGTCTCAACAATGTCCTTTATAGCAGAAGAACCCAGCCCATGTGTTATGTTTAGATGATACCTCTCTTTAGTGTCCTTCAGTCTGGAACACTTCCTCAGTCTTTGACTTTCATGACCTTGACTCTTTTGAAGATTACAAACCAGTTACAAATGGAGAGGAGTAGAATATTCGTCAGTTTGGGTTTGTCTGACTATTGCAGGATTTCTTTCAGGTTTCCTTCCTTGGCAGGACTATCTCAGGGGTCACACTGAGTTCTTCTCACTGTGTCCCATCAGGTGACGCTCAAGCAATTCACTCTGTTCCTGGGGATGCTCTCTCTCATCACTTGTTGAAGGGGGTGTCTGCCAAGTTTCTCTACAGTGAAGCTACCCTTTCTCCTTGTAATTAATGGGTATTTTGAGTAGCAGCACTTTGAATCTGTGTCAATATCTTCATCAAATTGCAATTTATCCATTTATTTATATATATCTGTATGTACTCGTATTTTCCTATTTTATTCAATGGGCTATAATCTTACTATCATTTTTTATTATGATGCTCAAATTGTCCTTGATTGGTCAGCGGAAGCCCTTCAGGCTGGTTCCTGTGTCATGTTGACATGTCCCAATCACTGTTTAGTATTCTCTTGCTTTCTAGCACAAGAAGATGTTCCAGGCTCAGCTTGTACTTTCCCAGTCCCAGCCCTGGAATCAGCCATTTCTCTAAAGAGCCCTGGTTCCTTTTAGTGGAAAATTATATTTATAAGCCAAGATTGGGGCACCAGCTGTGCTCATTGCTATTAGGGTGTCACTGTTTCTAAGCGCTATCAGTGGAGAGAAGTAGGGAAGATATGTTTTTATATCTATACACACACACACACACACACACACACCTATCAACCATATACTATATAGAAAGCATGAATTTACACTGACACATTAAGTTCCAATCTCTGACTCTGCAGGGTTCATTATGGTTTTCTCCCTTTCCAAATCAGTGACTCCCTTCTCCAAAAGTGAGAAACTTGGCACCCATCATCCTTAATATATCTATTTATTTTATCAATCCCCTTCATATGGCCAATCCCTACTCCATCCCTTTCCTCTCAGGGATGCCCTCCTCACTTCAGTAATCCACACCCTATTTGGGCTCTGGCTGCTCTCACCAGCCCCCCCCCCCCGCGTGGACCCCCTTCTCACCTGCTTGGGCTCCCACACCAGGTCCCCCCTCTGCTAGGCCGCCCCTCCATGTGACACCCTCCCCACCTTACTTCGACTCTGATTTGGAGCCACTGTGACTCCCTTCTGACCCTACAACCCAGTGTGTGGCTGCCCACCTTGCTATGCCCCACCTACTGAATTTAGGCCTAAATTATCCAGGAAGGGAAAAGGAGGGAAAGGAAGAGGAAGAGAGGAAATGGTAAGGAAGAGGCAGAAAAGGAAAAGGAAAAACCTATGCATTTCTGATACCAACTGAAACTGATGAATGCTTTTAGCCTTTCTGCACAATCAATTTACCAATCAATCTTTTTCCATTTGATCTTCATTGTGTTAAGACAGTTGGGAGTTGAGGATGGAGTACAAAGAGGTATAAGAAAACATGTTTCCTGCCTTTCAGAAACATCAGGAGACACGAAATGAAAACATTAAATCAAAACTAATATTATAATAAGAGCCTCAGTTGAGTGTTACAAAAAATATATGCTCCAAAAATGTAGAATTAAACTATGAATGTACTTTCTAAGCAACGGGCAAAGTCACAGTGGATTAACTCTCACATATCTTAATATATCAAGTGGGAGTTCTGAAAAATGCCCCACCCAACCAGTGATTGTGATGGTCAAAAGCATTTAGGCACTGGCTCTCACTGATTCAGTTCTATAGAGTCCCACTAATGTGCAAGAAGGCATCAAATAATAATTTTGTAAACAGATGTTTATTGACCTGCTCAATATAATATTTCATAGAATATTCAAAATGAACATGTGATATAAATGTCTCTACCATACTCAACACAATAATTCTTGTTTTCATTAAAATTTGCTGATAAAATCATCGAGAAACTTTTATTCTTGATTAGTGCTCAGGAAGAGTAGATGGTACTAACTGGGGTGGATGGAGATCGTCCTGTGAGAACAAGATAAGCTGAGTTCACATATCTTGCACTTACTTAGTCCCCTCCCTTATATCACACAACATATGATTCTCTATGTAGACACTGAGAAAGCTCAAGGAATGTAACAATCCATAGGAATCCATCAAGTGCAGTCAGTTAAGCCCATCTTCATTCTGGGTTTTATTCACAAAGTAAACTGAGGTCTCTGGTGTGCTGGGATACAGCTTCCTCGAACAACAAAATGGAAGTCCTTAGGGAGAGTCAGGCTCCACTCACGGTCCCATCTCTGGATTCAACCTTTAGAACAATGGGTTTCTGTGGTTGAATAAGTCCTTGAGGGCCTAATTTCAGGGGGATCTGCAACAGTTAAACAAGAATATGAGAACTGACTAATAAAGTTCCACCAACAACAGAAGTAGACAAGACACATTAAGGACAATAATGTTTTACAAACATATAAACTACTTTTAGCATCATATAACTTTGATTCTTTATACTTAGTCTGTAAGCTATGTCAGACTGGATAGTGAAAGCTTTCATCCATCCATTCATTAAAGAGAGGACCGTTCTGGACCAGGCCAGAGACAAAATATCTACAGAGCACCATTCTGGACTAGGCTAGAAACAAAATCATGGTGGCTTGTGGTTTTTTTTTTTCCTCTGAGGAAGATTGGCCCTGAGCTAAAATCTGTTGCCAGTCTTCCTCTTTTTGCTTGAGGAAGATTGTCCCTGAGCTAACATCCCTGCCAATCTTCCTCTACTTTGTATGTGGGACACCACCACAGCATGGCTTGATGAGTGGTGTATAGGTCCACACCCAGGATCCAAACCCACAAACCCCAGGCCGCTGCAGTGGAGCAGGCAAAGTCAACCACTACACCACCGGGCCAGCGTGTTCCTTTTTGAATTAAGTTTTAAGTAAAAAGAATGAACTTTTAAAATTTAAAACCCTCAAAATTCTCAGGCATTATGGCAAACTATTTTGAAAAGCCATATAGAGTTAATTTTGTGCATGCTGACACTTGCAAGGTAACCCAAGTGGGTATTACACATTTTAATTGTATGGGCCATCTTCAACTTCTAAAGAGTTTAGTCACCTCTCCCAGTGGAACCCATCCAGTTTCATGATGAGAAAAGTTCATTGTGAATATTATTCCTGTTTTCTAACATCTCTTGGCTCCCATATGTAGTGCAAATGGTGACCTTCTGACCTAGAAGTCTTTTGTTTTGGTTTTTTTTTTTTTGAGAAAATATGTATATTAAACCCATTCAATTTTATTATTTGTTTCATTATTCCATTTAGGTTCTGCACCAGTCATTTGAAATAGCAACCTCTATATTGTCAAAAGTTTAATGCAAAACACTTATGGTTTCACTCTTTCCACCTTACTTAAGGTCTGTAAATAAAGGATTCATCCCAAGGTTTAATCTCTTATGGAGACTTCTTTGAAGACCAAAAAAGCCTAAGTGTTGCAATGGAATATGCCATCCATAAAAATGTATTTTTTTATACGTTTATTTCTAAAAAGATCACTAAAGAGATCTATCCAGCAGATAAAAGAAAATATTCAGTTCAATAACAACCCATGAGAAGAGAGCCTAGGTCCTTGTAGAATTTGAAGTTATGTACACATTGGTTTTCTAATTTTATTTAATTATTTTATTGAGATCATATTGGCTTATAATACTGTGTAATTTCAGTGTACGTTATTATATATCAATTTCTGTATAGAATGTGCATCATGCTCACCAGCAACAGTCTAGTTTTTATCCGTCACCATACATATGTGCCTCTTTATCCCTTTTCCCTATCCTCTACCCCCTTCCCCTCTGGTAACCACTAATCTGTTCTCTTTATCCATGTGTTTGTTTATCTTCCACATATGAGTGAAATCATACGGTGTTTGTCCTTCTCTGTCTGGCTTATTTCACTTAGCATATTACCCTCAAGGTCCATCCATGTTGTTGCAAATGGCACAATTTTGTCTTTTTTTACAGCTGAGTAGAATTCCATTGTATACATATACCACATCTTTATCCACTCATCCATTGATAAGCACTTGTGTTGCTTCTATGTGTTGGCTATAGTGAATAATGCTGCAATGAACATATGGATGCATAAATATCTTTGAATTGCTGATTTCATGCTCTTTGGATAAATACCCAGTAGTGGGATAGCTGGATCATAAGGTGTTTCTATTTTTAATTTTTTGAGAAATCCCCATACTTTTTTCCATAGTGGCTACACCAGTTTGCATTCCCACCAGCAGTGTATAGGGATTCCCTTTTCTCCACATCCTCTCCAACACTGGCTATTTTTTGTCTTGTTAATTACAGCCATTCTGACGGGTATAAGGTGATATCTCATTGTAGTTTTGATTTGCATTTCCCTAAGAATTACTGATGTTGAACATATTTTTATATGCCTGTTGGCCATCTGTATATCTTCTTTGGGAAAATGTCTGCTCATATCCTCTGCCCATTTTTTTTATTGAGTTGTTCGTTATTTTGTTGTTGAGTTGTATGAGTTCTTCATATATTTCGGAAATTAACCCCTTGTCAGATATATGATTACACCTACAGTGTTTTGACTGATAGTTTTAGCCCCATTCTCACCCAGCCACTCCTTCAGTGTTGGGGGAGCCACCAGCAGATTAATCTTCAGGACTCAGTTGACTGAAGGGCAAGCAAATTGCCATGGAAGGTGAGAAGCACCAGCCTGTGGATGACTAGGAGCTGGCAGAGAGTGTCTGCCCCATCCCACGTGTGCAAGAGACCTGCTTTCTCTCAGGACTGAGTCCCCTGTTTACACACTTACAGGATTGCCACACAGCTGCCCTAAAGCCACAAATAAGATGGAAACCATCTCTATCCTCCTCTCTCCTACAGAAACCCCAGTTAAGGAGAGAAGCTGCAAATTTAATGCACAAGTCCTAGAAATAATCCTTATTTTAGGGCCTTGTTTGATATGAATCAACGACAACCATTTTTTAAGTTCTTCAGAGGAGCGAGTCCAGATCTTTCTATAAATGTAAAACCTTGTTATTTTATAATTTCAAATGGCATACATATATTTCCCCCGCAGATAAACACACACACACAACAGGCACAAACAAAAATTTCATTTGTTAAATTTTTAAAGTTAAAATTGTTCAAAATTTGTATCCAAGAGCTCTAAATCAACTGCAAATCACTCCTTAAGCATTTACTAGATGACTGCAAGGCACCATTGGGAGTTTATGAAGGGAATAAATGAGGTGCTAGAGTTAAAAAACATTCTTAGGTACAAAGAAAACATAGAGAACCACACTGGATGATTTAATAACACAATATTAAGTTAGGTGGTCCAACCAATGATACCAGCCTGCAGTAACCAGTAACAGAGCAGAGGACAGAATGGGCTCTGAACTGGATGACGGACGCTCCATGGAGGGGCTCGGGGATAGAACAAGGACTTGAAGGATGAGAACAGAATGGGGGGTAGAGCAGGAAGAATTTTTATAGGGTTATTATTAGGATGTAAAAGGAGTCCAGCTTGACTGGAGCAGGGCTCTTGGAAGGTGAGGCCAAATATCCAGGATGGCCCTGGACTGTGGAAATCCTTCACATCTGGCAGAAATGCTTAAATCAGTGATTCTCAACCTTGGCTGCACATGAGAATCCATGGGGTGCTGTTAAGCCACCAATCTCAGTGAATTATTTTAGAATTTCTGAGATGACCTATGCATCAGGACTTTTGTGTATGAGAGGAAGATTAGCCCTGAGCTAACATCTGTTGTCAATCCTCCTCTTATTGCTGAGGAAGATTGGCCCTGGGCTAACATCTGTGCCCATGGTTTGATAAGCAGTGCGTTTAAGTCCACACCCGGAATCAGCAACTGTGACCCCAGGCCACTGGAACGGAGCGCACAAACTTAACGATTATGCCGCCAAGCCAGCCCCTATCGTTGGGTCTTTATAAAGTCACAGACTTAGCAGTCCGGAGCTGACAGGTCCTACAAGTCACAGATGGCTCCAAATAGATTCTCTGGCCAACAGAACAAATTATTCTTTGAATAAAACACATTCTTATCTATGTACAAATACACAAATACATATACTCCTCGATTTAAAAAAAAAATTCCCAATAAATTAAAAACAGAAATACCATATGATCCAGCTATTCCACTACTGGGTATTTATCCAAAGAACAGGAAATCAACAATCCAAAGAGATTTATGCACCCCTATGTTCATTGCAGCATTATTCACAATAGCCAAGACATGGAAGCAACCCAAGTGCCCATCAACGGATGAACGGACAAAGAAGATGTGTGAATACCACTCAGCCATAAAAAGGACAAAATCGTGCCATTTGCAACAACATGGATGGACCTTGAGGGCATTACGCTAAGTGAAATAAGTCAGACAGAGAAAGACAAATGCCGTATGATTTCACTCATATGTGGAAGATAAACAAACATATAGATAAGGAAAACAGATTGGTGATTACCAGAGAAGAAGGGGGTGGGCTGAGGGAAAAAGGGATAAAGGGGCACATATGTATGGTGATGGATATAAACTAGACCATTGGTGGTGAACATGATGTAGTCTGTACAGAAACTAAATATAATAATGTACATCTGAAATTTACACAATGTTATAAGCCAATATGACCCCAATAAAATAATTTTTAAAGTCTTAATAAAACATTATCTATGCAGAAAGTTCACTGTCTGACCTGTGTTTCTTTACAAGGTTTGAAGGAGAAGTTCTGCAGCATTCTGATGACAGCAAGTTTCATGTTCATGATAGCAAACCTCATGCCAATGCAGTTTCGGGGTCCAGTTCCAAAGAGCAGGTATAGATAAGGATTTATGCTGTCCTTGTTCTCCTTACTGAACCTGGATCCAGAAGAGAACAAGTTAATGAAATATGAAAACCACAAGAGCTGTAGGTTTGTGGTTCTCACTTAGAGTCCTCAACCAGTAGTACACAGGATACTTCTGTGGGCTAGTCATTGACATCCTGCTACAGGCATTTGCTGTGAGAATTGTAAGCGACAGATCCTTTCCATTCCCCTTACCCCATAGGAGATTTCAGTCTTGTTCAGGAGATAAAATGAATGCTGTTTAAGAGAAAATTTATCTTTAAACATGAAAACTACATTCAGGGTGATGACATATTCACACTCTGAAAGGCAAGGCAAGTAAGAAATGAGAGTGATTGAAGGAAAAGTAGGTTCCTGCTTCCACACACCCTGGTGTTGGTCATGTGCTCATGGAAAGAAGAAAGCAGGAGAAATGCCTCCCACTATTTAAATTGTTATTTTCTCTTCTCTTCCCTTCCTCCCCTGCCCTCTGCTCCCCTTCTCTCTCTCTCTCTCTCTCTCTCTCTCTGTCACCTTCTCAGCCGGGTCAGAGCATGGCGGGAGGGCGGGGCCTTTTTCACACCTTCTCCACCCCCCTCCCCCCGCCATAGAAGAGCTTAGATTAGATGATTTTCATGGGCATATAATGCTACTCTACTATAGTATAATCACTGATTTCCTTCTCTATCTGTTCCACCAGCTATAAATTCCTTGAAAGTTAGACCTACGTTTTATTCAATTCGATTCCTCAATATGTGATTACCCGAACAAAAATCATGGATTTGGGGAAAGTGAATGGTATTGTGGTTATGTACTTTTTAAAGAGTCCTTATATTTTGGAGAACATTCTTGGATAGTTATATACAATATGCCTTAAAACAATATGGGAATCAGGATAAAGGTAGCAGTGGTGTGAGGATGATACAGCTGACATGGGTTGGTGGTTGTGGGCAGGTGGACACATATAGATACATCAAAGGTATTACACAGACTTGTGTCTATAGAATATGCTTGTATATATGTCAAAACACACATAGTTGTGTATATATCAAAAATTTTCATAATAGGCATTTTTTTAACATTTGTATTTCTCACTGCCTGGCCCAGTCCCTGACACACAGTAAGCGTTTACTATCTGTTTGATGACTGAATGAATCAAAGAGAAGTACAGTGAGTGGTCTCTGGTTTTATGTCTGTGAAGCTGTAGGAAGGGGAACTGCTGACCTTTGAGGAACCACAGAGGTCCTCTGGTCCAGAAAATGGAGGACTTTATCAACTCTGACTTTCTTCAACAAGTACTACGTGTAGATGCTATGCCAGCACTAGGGACACCATGGCCAACAAGACAAGGTCCCTGCCATCAGGGAGCTTCTAGTTGGGAGCTAATAAAAGTCTAGATCTCAGCTAGTGCCCTAAAAAGTTCATTCCAAATTTTGCTCACCAATAAAATAAATGTGAAAGCATCAGCTCTTTCCAGAGTTCAGCTGTGAGCAAAGTTAGATCTTGGTTAAGAGTTCCCAGAAGAGCATGCTCAAGGAGGATGTCTCAGACATCTAGAGAGCACATGACTTCACTTTGGAAGGGTCGCCAAACACTGAGAGTAGAAGGGAGCTGGCAAAGGACTGCAGCCATAGACAGCACTGGGGGTCCTGTGCTCACCTCCATTCTCAGTGAGGCTGCTTAAACCATCAGAGGGAGGACCTCTAGGTCATTACCTGAATCTTAACAATAATGCTAGAGGAAACAGCACCAATGTTTAAAAAAACAGAATGTGGGAACGTTGGTGGTAAATTCAGAGAGCTGAAGAGAACAGCACAGAAAAACATAAAGGAAAAATGAGCCTATATTCCCCAAATCAGATAGTAGTTCAGTAAATTATGGCAAATGCATGCAATCACACACACATATATATATATATTTATAGTATATAGATAGAAAGACATATATAGATATAGATATAAAAACATATATATACATATATATAGTAACATAGGATATTGTTTATAGTTTACTGGTAAATAAAGTAAGCAATTCAAAACCAAATAAAATATAATACTATTCAAATTTTTTAAAATCTATAAATGCAGAGAAATATGTCCATAAGGACCTATAGCACATTGTTAATGAGGCTTATTTTAAGGTATTGGGACTGTGGGCAGCTATAATTTTCTTTTTTCTAGTACACAGTTTGTAAAATTTTGACAACAAACAATGATCACTCTTGTAAAAAGAAAAACAACTGCTAAAAATAAAAAGATGTACAAATGAATGATTGTAAAATCACATGTTTGTCATCTATACGAAGAGATATCAGCATATGCTCCCACCAGCCTGGATCATAGTAGGTTCTCTTTCCCAGGGGACCCTGTCCCTTTTAGGATGGAACTCCTCAGGCTCTGGCCAGAACTCTGAGGCTTGGGGAAGAGCAAAAGTTGGAACCATCACCACTGTTCCTTTGGGAATGAACACCCTACTGATTTCCATATTTTTCTTATAGACCCTCTCAATTCTACCAGCAATTGGGAATAGTCTGAGAGATTCCTTCAACACCATATCAAGATACTCCATCTGTACCAGGGTATCATAGGTGGGAGGTGCCTGGGAAGAAAGCAACAGATTTTAATAAATTGAGATTTGGGATCAACTTTCCACTCAGTCTCTGTAGTACTATTGAAATGTTAGGAGTACAAAAGAATAATTTATTTTGGTAAAGGACTTTAGCATTTACAGACATTTTAATATCTATCATGTCCTTTGACCTGCTCAGTGACCCATTGAGATGCATGGAGTAGCATGCACTCCCAGGACTATAGGAGACAATTGGGACAATCCCTCAACAGGGTCTGAAATCCCTCACACTACCATGTAGTGGATTTTCTTTCTCATGTGAACAAATGTGACTAATAGACTATGGCATTTACTCTTCAGTGATATATGCCAAAGTCACTGTTTCCTCTCAAAAGAGAGGCCATAACATCTGTACCAAGGAAGGAGAATGTGTAAAAGAGCAAATCCACTATTCAACATAAAGTTTTTTAGTTGAAAATTCCTAGTTGCTAACTCTTTGGTTTATATAATATATAATTTGGACAGATACACTGTATTATATTAAAAACTCTACAAGTAATTTGGGGAGAAACTAGTTCCTTTCTAAACCAAATAAGACAAAAGAATGTTAAGATTGGATGCTACCTGGGCACACGATTTCATTTCTAGGGAAAGTTATAAAAAGGATCAGAATTCCACCCTCAGCCCCATCCTATGTTGCTGGAACAGTTTCCTAGTTGTCGCTTCAGGATTTGAATGTAAGCTCTGAAGATCTAAGCAAGCCACTGCAGTCCCAGGGGGTCAGATCTCTATACCCCACAAAGAAATCCAGTTTTGGCAGAGATCAGAAAAAAGTGTGTACAATATGTGGCTATGACCTGGTATTATATTGAAGAGGCAATATTGTAGAGGTAAACAGTCTGTCTCAGGAGCCAAATATCCTGGATCATAGCTTGGCTTCTTCACCGCTAGTTACATGACTAGTTTATGGAAGTTATTTCATCTCTCTGTAGCTCAGTTTTCTGATATGTTCCATGGAGATAATTTGAGTTGACACTTCATGGGGCTGTTGGACAGAGACACTCACTGCTTAGCCAACATCCTTGTAGTCTCCACATTTCCCAGCCCAATGAACTTAAGGGAAATCAGCTTTGGCGACGGGCTGTGAGCTGAGGTGATGTATGTCACTTCAGGGACAAAACATTTGAAAAGCCAGTGAGCAATACTCTAGCTCTTTATTCCCCAGCCAACGGGAAGGCCTCATGTTCCAGACAATCAGCTAGAAGAAGGTGGAGCCTCATAGCCTGTATCCCTAGTAACTATGTGGAGCAGAGACTCCCACTCTCATCCTCCACTACATCCACTTGGACATATATGTCAGAATCTATGCAGAAATAGAAGTATAACGATGTACACCTGAAATTTATACAATGTGATAAACCAATGTTACTGCAATAAACAAAATTAAAAAAAAAAAGAAGTAAACCTTCGCTATGTAAAGCTATGGAGATTTTAGGGATAATCTGTTACTGAAGCTAAACCTAGCCTATCCTAACATAGAATTTTATGAAGATTAATTCATTTATAAATAGAAAGCATTTAAAAGAGTCATATTTAGAAATGAGCAAATATTAGCTTCTTAAGTTGTTATTGTCTTTGTAATTATTCTTATAAAAAAGGGAGAACACAATGTTTAGCTAGTCTCTGTCTCCAAGTGAACTTTTCATCATATTTCAAACAGAAGAATCTCAATATGGGCTTTACCAGAGAAAAGAGAGAATCTTTAATTTAGGTCGGTCCTGAAATGTTTTCTTACCTTACATCTGAAGGACCTAAGACTCAGAAAGATCATAAGAATTGTCCAAAACCACAGTCAGGACTCAGTCATGTCTTCCATTTCCTACCCTATGCTCTTTCCTGTACACCAGGCTCTCCTAGTCTTCAAAGTTTACCCAGGGTAGTAGACTGCACTAATGGTCCCAACTCTCCACCCCTTTCTGTGTCCATGTCCTTTGCCATCTAACTTTGTGGTGCCCTCCCACTCTGACTCTGGGGTTAGCTTGGTGGCTTCCTTTAAACTAACGGAATGTTGGCTAAGTGAGATGCAAGCACAGTTTTGAAAGGCACCCATGTGACTGAGCTTCCTGCTCTTGGCCTCTGCCATTGCCCTGAGAAGAGTACACTCAGGCTGGTTTTCTGGAAAATGAGAGACGTGTAGAGCATGTGTGGAGCTGAGTCAGCCCACCCAGCTTAGCCAAGGCTAGCCTAGATCAGCCAACAGCCTGACCAAAACAAGTCCAGCCAATGTCAACAGAGATAACTACCCAGACACTTGAAAAGCAAATGCTTATTGTTAGGTACCACTGAGGTTTTGTGATTTTTACTTGGCATAATTGCAGGAACAGATAACTGACACACCAGAGCCAGCACTTTTTTCAAAGATCTTATATTTCCGTGAGTAGCTATACATTACTCATGTCTTTCCCTCTGATTTTGTCTCTTTAGATCTTTCCTAAATAGTGCAGGTGAAAGAACTGATGCTTATGCTTTTTGCAAAAATACTCCTAGGAAGTGGTGAGGAGACATTCTTGCTAAGACTTCACCCTCCCTCTCCAGGTATCATCCATTCACCTTATTGGGGAAAGTCGCATCAATATCCTCCTGCAGCTTCTGCTGGACATCACAGTGAATGGCCAAAATATATATAAGGAAGGAAAGAGAACTGCTAGTGGTCTTGTAGCCAGCAAAAATAAAGATAATAGATTGAGCCACGAACTCCAGATCAGACAGAGCTAAAAGGAGAGGAAAGACATTGTAGGTAAACCAGTCAATGTTAAACAGCACAGTTTAGATGATGAGAAATCCAAATGAAACTCCAAATCCCTAGGGAAAAATAGAAAAGCAGTACATAGTCAAACTGGGAGGGGTATGCCCTCTGATGTCTATCTGGCAGAGCCAGAAAAAGGCAAAAATTGTCTTAATCCAGTTTTTCCCGAGGTCTACACTATTCTTGACCGTCTCCTCTTGATTATGCCACCGTCCCCACCAACACAGCTGGGTAATTTAAGAGAGAATGTTTCCATCTAAGATATATAGTGTTATCAGTATGTCCCTTGAAGAATTCTAAAAGTACTTTAGCTATAAGTAATGTGGAATAGCATTACCCCCAGGAAAAAACTTAAATTATTCTAGCTAAAATATAGTTTGAAATTTTTCAAAAGAGGATGCAATACTAAGACTTAATTGTAGAGAAAAATTAAAGGATCTTTCCTCTAAACATGTTTGAGGGAATTTAAGAGAATAATATTGGACTAGAGATAAACTCTTGCTACTCAAAGTGTGGTCCATGGACCAGCATCAACAGCATCTAGGAGCTCTTTAGAAATGCAGAATCTTAACCCCCACCCTAGAACTATCTAATCAAATCTGAACTTTCACAAGATGTGGTAGTTTGTGTGCACAACCTAGCTTGAGAAGTATGGATTGTGCCTTGAGAGGCATCAGGTAATGGAAGACCTGGGGTACAAGTCTTCAAATGGAAGATCTCAGATATGTACAGGAACTACAGAGAAAGACAAAATGCTAGAAGAGTGGTGATTGACCACTAATCAGTGGCATTAAAATAGCAGAAGACAGACTGTGTCAATAGAGGGCATTGGCCAGCATGAATCATAGAAAAATAGGATCCATTGAGTAGAACAGCAATGCTTATTCAATCATGGCCTGAATGTCATCTTCTAGCACATGCTGCCTCTCTTTGTCTACTTTATGCTCAGCAAACAGCCCTTATCTTTATAAGTTGGCCTCCCTTTTGACCTTCTCCTGAAAGACACTATGCATGTCCAGGCTCTAATTTATTTGATTGGGACTACATTAGGACATTTAGATACTTATAGCACTGAAATGAACGTGGTTAGTACCTGCTCCAACCATGTAATTCACAAATGAAATACTACAAAATGAGTCTAAGAAAGGTATACACAGTTCTGATTTCCCAATGGTGATTTGTGTGATGACCTTGTGGGAATACAACTATCAAATTCTTTCCCCTGGTTAGCATGAACCTCATGATACTCAAAGTTTAGAGCAGTGCTTTCCAACATGGAAAATTTAAATTACTTAAATTTAAATACAATTTCAGATTCAGTTCTTCAGTGGCACCAGCCACATGTCAAGTGTTCAATAGCCATACGTGTCTCATGGTTACTGCATTGAACAGTATGGATAAAGAGTATTTCCTTCACCACAGAAAGTTGTATTGGACCATGTAGTTAGACAGGTAGGTAGGTAGGTAGGTAGGTAGGTAGGTAGATAGATAGACAGATAGAAGTAGACATAGATATAGATATATTTATAGTGGCATGCTAGACTCAGATCATCCCCGCTCTCTAGAACCAAGTGTTAAATATTTGAGAATTCTGAGAGATGGCTGTCAAACCACTGGTAGCTTGAAATTAACCATATGGGAGTATTCATGTCATGGAAATAAACTATAAATCAGGGCCTTGGTTTAGAGAGAGAGAGAGAGACACAGAGTGTGTCTACATTACTGGTTATAGGTAGATATAGAAACATTTATATTTATCTGTTCTGTGTAAATATAATTGATGTTCTCAGCTTTGTCCACAGAGAGGATCTAGAAGCAAAGAAACCCTAGTAGCAGTGAGAACTCCTAGATCCCAGATTTTGGTTTCTAAATACCATTTCTCACTAAAAGGAACCAGAGCTCCTTTGAGAAATGGTTGATTCCATGGCTGGTCAGGGGAAACAGAAGAGAAACCTGGGATGTCTTCCCTCAGAAAGAAAGGAAGTGCTCAGAAAATAATATGTGAAAAGATACAGGATACTCTGTATACTATAATGGTAGCTATACATCATTATACATTTTTCAAAACCCATAGAACGTACAACACCAAAAGTAAATCCTAAAGTAAACTACGGGCTTTGGGTGATAATGTGTCAATGTAGGTTCATTGATTGTGACAAATGTACCACTATAGTTAAGGATTTTTATAGTGGGGGAGGCTTGTGTAGGTGGGGGAAAAGCATACATGGGAAATGTCTGTACCTTGCACTCAATATTGCTGTGAACCTAAAACTGCTCTAAATAAGTCTACTGAAAAAGTAAATTAAAAAATGGAAGAAGAAAAATAAAAGGACACAGGAGCCCACTTGAAAGGGCTTCCAGAGGACAATGCTGAGAGAATTTGAGCATCAAAATAAAGAATGATATAAGAGAGTAAATTAGTAATTTATCAGATCACATAAATTTAAATTGAAATACAATTTCAGCCTGTATTATATAAATAAATATATAAATAATGAGGGAGAATGGAAACCTCTCCTTACAATGAAAGCTCTCCTTCTCATAAATGTAGAAGAAATTATGGAATTAGAGAGTCATCATTTTGCAACTAACGTAGTAAAAATGGTTTCAGTCAAAAACCACCAATGGATTGAAGTCAGCCTCATGGCAGAGTGAGCTTTCCCATAAACTCTCCCCAGATAAGATATAACAAAAATGACATTCACATACCAACAAAGGACGTTCACACAACACAAAAGGATGTCTGAGAGACCCACACAGCCACACATCTGAGAGTGGACATGGAGCCCCCAGAGGAAGTGAGGAGAGGTAAGAAGAAATCCTCCCCCTCCCCTATCCATCAGCGACTCCAGGTCTTGCGGCTCCCAGAGAGGCAGGGAGGGGTGGTCTTCTGCAGGAAAACTGTTGCTCTCCAAGTTCTCTCACAGCCTGTGGGAAATTCCCATATGGTGGAGTCTGAACTGCTACAGGCGTGCTGTCAACATCTGAGCACCCCAGGAGAGCAGATAGTGAGGGAAGAACAAGAAGCCCCCTGGAATCCGGCAGGCGAAAGAGAGAGCCCCTCCCCTCCATACACCCACCGCTTCAGCTCAGCTGGTCAGCCAGAGTGCTTGCGGATCACAATGGGATCAGAATACACAGCCCTTGATCCCCACCCAGTGGCGACAGGTGGAAACTGCAACCAGATATTTTAGGATGAGGAAAAACAAGGCAACTTCTGCAGGCATAATGCAAAAATATATTAAATCTCCAGACCAGAAGGAAAATGACAAGCACCCAGAAATCCACTCTGAAGGCATAGAAATTTATACACTAAATGACAGAGAATTCAAAATAGCTATCATAAAAAAGCTCAAGGAATTACAAGAAAACACAGATAAACAATTCAACGATATCAGGAATTTCTTCACAAAAGAGATTGAAACCATAAAGAAAAACCAATCAATATTGTTGGAGATGAAAAACACAATGGAGGAGATAAAGGAAAATCTAGAATCTTTAAAGAATAGAGCTGATAATACGGAGGAAAGAATTAGCATTATAGAGGATAGGAATACAGATATGCTCCAGATGGAGGAGGAGAGAGAACTAAGACTAAAAAGAAATGAAGAAATTCTCTGAGAAATATCCGACTCAATTAGGAAATTACATAAGGATTATAGGTATCCCTGAGGGAGAAGAGAGGGAAAAAGGAACAGAGAGCTTATTCAAGAAAATAATAGCTGAGAACTTCCCAAATCTGGGGAAGGTGTTGGAAATACCAGTAAATGAAGCCAACAGATCACCTAAATATGTCAATAGGAAAAGGCCCTCTCCAAGTCATATAGCAGTAAAGCTGGCAAACGTCAATGACAAAGAAACAATATTAGGGGCAGCTAGACAAAAACAAAAAATAACGTACAAAGGAATTCCCATCAGGCTGTCAGCAGATTTCTCACAGAAACTTTACAGGTTAGGAGAGACTGGAATGATATATTCAAAATTCTGAAGGCAAAAACTTTCAGCCAAGAATACTCTATCCAGTGAATATATCCCTCAAATATGATGGAGAAATAATAACTTTCCCAGATAAACAAAAGCTAAGGGAGTTCATGTCCAGAAGACCCCTACTGCAAGAAATGCTCAAGAAGGCCCTCATGACTGAAAAAAAAAAAAAGAGAGAGAGAGAAAGGGGATACAAAGCTTCGAGAAGGAGAAATATAGAGCAAAATCAGAAAAATAGTGGCCCTCTATCAAAATAGGTTAGCAAACACTTAAATACCAAAATCAAAGATCAAGGGAAGGAAAACACCAAAAATTAATATAACCTCATCACTTTAAACACACACTCACAACACAAGATTGAATAAGTTGTGACAATAATAACTTAGAAAGGGAAGAGAAAAGGGATTGAATCGAATTAGTCTAAAGAAATAAGAAGTCATCAGATAATGGACTATCTCATCCACAAGACTTTTTATACAAACCTCAAGGTAACCAGTAAACAAATAATCAGAACAGAATCACATATGACAAATAAAGAGAAAACTAAAAGAGTCATAATACAGAACTACTAAACTGAATTGGTAGTCCAAAACACATGGGACGAGAAACAAAGGAAAAGCAAAAGAACTGGAAAATAAGCAATAAAATAGCAACATTAAGCCCTCATATATCAATAATCACTCTAAATGTAAATGGATTGAAATCTCCAATCAAAAGACAGAGTGGTAGGATGGATTAAAAAGCAAGACCCAACAATATGTTGCCTCCAGGAAACACAACTCAGCTCTAAAAACAAACACAGGATCAGAGTGAAAGGATGGAATACAATACTCCAAGCTAATGGCAAACAAAAGAAAGCAGGTGTTGCCATACTTATATCAGACAAAGCTGACTTCAAGATAAAACAGCTAATGAGAGACAAAGAGGGGCATATATAATGATAAAAGGGACACTCCACCAAGAAGTCATATCATTTATAAATATATATGCACCCAACACAGGAGCACCAAAGTACATAAAGCAACTATTAACAAACCTAAAAGGAGATATTAACAACAACACAATAATAGTAGGGGATCTTAATACCCCACTTACATCAATGGATAGATCATCCAGACAAAAAGTCAATAAGGAAATAGTGGACTTAAATGAAAAACTAGACGAGATGGACTTAATAGACATATACAGAGCACTCCATCCAAAAATAGCAGACTACACATTCTTCTCAAGCATGCATGGAACATTCTCAAGGATAGACCATATGTTGGGAAATTAGACAAGCCTCTGTAAATTTAAGAAGATTGATCATAACAAGGATCTTTTCCGACCATAATGTTATGAGACTAGAAATCAATTATAAGAAAATAACTGGGACAGTGACAAAGATGTGGAGATTAAACAACATGCAACTGAACCAAAAATGGATCATCAATGAAATTAAAGGAGAAATCAAAAAATATCTGGAGACAAATAAAAATGAATATACCAACTCATATGGGATGCAGCAAAAGTGGTCCTGAGAGGGAAACTCATAGCAATACAGGCCCACCTTAACAAACAAGAAAAATACCAAATAAGCAACCTTAAACTACGCCTAACAGAACTAGAAAAATAAGAATAAACAAAGCCCAAAGTCAGCAGAAGGAGAGAAATAATAAAAATTAGAGCAGAAATAAACGAAATTGAAACCAAAAGGCAGTAGAAAGGATCAATGAAAAGAAGAGTTAGTTCTTTGAGAAGATAAACAAAATTGACAAACTCTTAGCCAGACTCATTCAGAAAAAAAGAGAGAAGCCTCAAATTAATAAAATTAGAAATGGAAGAGGAGAAATTACAACGGATACCACAGAAACGCAAAGGATTATAAGAGAATATTATGAAATATTATATGCCAACAAATTAGACAATCTAGAAGAAATGGATAAATTCTTAGACTCATACAACCTCCCAAAACTGAATCAAGAAGAAATAGAGAATCTGAATAGACCAATCACAAGTAAAGAGATTGAAAGAGTAATCAAAAACCTCCCAAAAAATACAAGTCCAGAACCAGATGGCTTCTCTGGACAATTTTACCAAACATTCCAAGAAGATTTAATACCTATACTTCTCAAACTATTCC